AAAATCAGAATATATCTTCTTATCATTATTTTTAATAAATTTAAAATCATAATCATAATTATATTTATTTATATAATCTTGTATATAACCAGCTGCATGGCATAGCATATTTATGATATCCTTACATAACTTCAGTATCTCCATAAATTGAATAAGTATGACGAGAATTTGTGTTTATCTTCTTAATTTCATTTTTAAAATTATTAGAAAAATATTCTAATTTATCATTAATACTATTAAATAAATCTATTTGTTCTTGTTTCTTATTATTAATAAAATAATTATTAATAACAGATACTAAAACATATACTTCATTATTTATTAGTTGATAAATAAAATAATTTTTATCAATTTTATTTGTTATTTTATAACAATTATCTTCAGTAAAGTTGCTTAATTTTTTTTTATTTTCATCAATATTAATAGGTATTAAATATCCTATATCTAATTTCTTAATATTGTTTTCATATCTTTTTCTATTTCTTTCTTCTCTTTTTTCTTTAGAAGTCATAGGTAAAAGTAAATAAAAGAAACTTTGAAGGACTTTGAGATGACATTTTTTGTTTTAGAAAAATGTCTTTTTTAAAATTATATTATTTATAAGAATAAAAGTAAATAAAAGAAACTTTGGGGGACTTTGAGGTGTCATTTTTTTGTTTTAGAAAAATGACTTTTTTAAAATTATATTATTTATAAGAATAAAAGTAAATAAAAGAAACTTTGGGGGACTTTGAGGTGTCATTTTTTTGTTTTAGAAAAATGACTTTTTTAAAATTATATTATTTATAAGAATAAAAGTAAATAAAAGAAACTTTGGGAAACTTTGAGGTGGCATTTTTTTCGTTTTAGAAAAATGCCTTTTTTAAAATTATATTTATAAGAATAAAAGTAAATAAAAAAAACTTTGGGGGACTTTGAGGTGTCATTTTTCATTTTTTGTTTTAGAAAAATGACTTTTTTAAAATTATATTATTTATAAGAATAAAAAAAATAAATAAAAGTAAATCAATAAAGAATTTATTAAATTAAAAAAATCTTTGGGGAGGCATTTCTTATAAAAATTATTTTTTTTTAGAAAAATTAAAAGTTGAGAAGAAGATCCTTCTCAACTAAAAGTTGCGAAAAGATAAGTTGATGAATATGTGACTTAATTTAGCCTTCTGTTTTTTAATATTGATGTTTTATAATAAGGGCAAGAATAATTTACGCATTTCAATCTTATTTTTTCAGAAAAATAGTATATACTGAAGTGACGTATTTAATTTTTGTTCTCCCTTTGTTTTTAATGATATTTTATATAATAAAAATAAATAATTTTGAATTTGAATTTTAGTCAAAGAGAGAGAAGAAAATTATTTTATTTTTTTTTTTTAACGAGAATGAAATTTTTTTATTTTTTTTGAGCAAAAAAAAAAAGCATGGTATTTAGAACCAAGCCAAGCCAAGCACACAGCCCACAACTTTACAAGATTTTCAGGATAAACATATCATATGACGAAGTTTTAGGTCACGAACGTAACAATGAACTCCTTTTTTGGTCTAGATTTCCAATTTTTAGATAATACACACGAATCATTGTTTTTATTTTTTGACACAAACATTTGCGTAAGAACCAATCTTGTGACGGTGAACAAGCCCAAAGTTTATAAGTTAATTTCCACGTGATCGGTGAGAGTGAAACAAAAATTTTTTAGTGGTGAAAATTTTTCAATACAGAAATCAGGGAGGCGTGACACGGGGTGAATATCACGTGGGGTGGAAATTCTTGGGGCGATACTGGGTAAGATAACAAGAAGAATTCTAAGATTAAACTTTAAATAAATTTGTTGATAATCAATCGATCTGGGTTAGTTTAATTTCATTGTCTACGGGCAACCCTTTCATTGTTTGAATATCGTGTAATATTAATGTATTGATCTTCATTTGGCGAACACCAATTAACTTAAATTGCCTCCCTTTTTTGAAACAATGAACTGCGCGTGGAGAACCAATAAATTTCCTTTTGTTAAAACAATGATTATGTACATTTCAAGATAAATTGATAATGTAATCATAGAACGCTTGTTTCTCTTATCAAATAAATGAAATAAAAAAAAAGAACGATGAAACATTATAAATACGAGTTGAATTGGACTTCCTTTCCCTTCACAAAGTCACAAAGTAAAAAATAACTGCTAGTAACTTTAAAATCTTCTTTTGGATTTAATAATGATTAACATACAAAGAAATACGTCAAACAATAATCCCGTAAATCCCGGTAGAATGATAATTGTTGCACGTAATAATCTTCTTCAACAAATCGATAGTAATAGAAATAGAGTCTTCCCCCTTCACATTCAAAATCCAACTAGATTCGTTACAATTCTAAATAATAATACGAATCGACGTGCAAGACGTTACTATACAGGCTTTGATTTATTTTGTGTCGTTGTTGGAGAAGAGGCTAGAAATCTTAACGAGACGAATCAGATTGTAATTAGACTTGTTGCTAATGCATTATGGAGGAGTAGTGACGTGAATGATAAAAGTCGTTATTGCATCCTTGCTCGTATGATTAATAATTGATTCATGCAGCAATATAACAACGGCAGCGATTATAATAATAGAATAACTGTAAAATCGAAACCGAGATACGATGGTTAATGGCAAATCTGAATTTTTTTTATCGTTTATTTCGTTTATTTATGATGGCAAAATATTTATTAAGATAAGCTTTAATTAGTTATGATTATATATTAGTTAAAATACTTAAGTAAATAATAATTATAGACAGAGACAGATTATTATACATTTAATTATGTAAATATGTTTAAGTTTAAATATTTTTTATTTTTTTCGGACATTCCATTTCATAATTTAATTTATTTCATTTATGATCGTTATTATTTTATTTTTCGTTAACGTTAATAATAAATAATAAAAATAAAAAAATTAATGTTTCACGAACTAAATTAATTACCATTGTTACTTATGATACACGCTATATACATGTGTAACATTTGACTTACAAACAACGCTAAATTCAAATTGTAACATTAAATACATTATTATTATTTTCTATCAACATACACAACATTAACGATATCTTTGATACATAAAATTTATGATAACGTTCAGTATGTGCTTTAAGTGGTGATGCTATATTTGCATCATTTTAAATTTTTAATCTTTTTCCGCATTTACCGAAATTATTAAAAAAAAAAAAAATAGCAATAACGACGTTAAGTAAATAAAAAAAAATTAAGGTAGAACCGATTTTGATCTTTGTTACGCCTTAATCAATAAAAGAAAAAAATTCTTATCGGATGGGCGCCTTTATTTGCGTATTCATTATGAATTTAATCCACATGGTAGTTCTTGTGAAATACCAAAAAACGATTGGTTCACTTATAATACTTATAATTCACAATGATTATGTTGAAACAATGGCAACTATTTTGATGAACCACTAAGCTCGCCAAGCTTATTGTCATTGTCTCCGAACAACCAATACATTCTTGGGTAACTTTTAAAATAATAATTATGTTTAACTTTACATGATTTGCCAATGTATTAAATTATTTACACTTGCAAAATGATTGTTAATCATGTAAGAGTAAACGCGAGCTTTATAACAATGAAACTGTATAAATACCCGTCTTGCTTACTTTCTTCTCTTTTCACAAAGAAAAAAAAAACAATAAAAAAATAAAACAAAAAAAATATTTAAACAATTCGTCTTTGTTCTTTGAAACCACATTGAACGAATTTACTTGATCTTCAGGTTTAGTTATAATGAACAGACAAAGAAATAACAGAGCAGCAAATAATCAAAACAGAAGAGATCGAGTGGTCGAAAGAGATAACCTTGTTGCAAATATAAATAGAGCTAGGATTTTTCCTCCCTATGTTCAAAACCCAAACAGAATCCTTTCGCTTTTACGCCGCAATAGTCGACGTCCAAAACGTAAATATCATGGCTATGATTTAATTTACGTCATTACTAAGGAGGAAGCCAGAATTCACAATCATGTGACAGATGATATTATTGTTAGGAATGTTGCTAACGTATTATGGAGAGAGAGTACCAGAGGTCAGAAAGAACAATATATTTCTCTTGCACGTGACGTAAACTATTTAATTTAACTTTAATGTCATGATTTTTTTATTTCCTCCTTACGAATCTAAGTTAATATGCTTCTATATGATTCTACTTTAATCTTTTTAAGAACCATTCTTTCTTTACACAAAAGAAAAATTACAACAAATATATAGTTCACTTACGGTAATCATAAGCTTTGTATTTATTTTTGTTAATACATACCTTTTATTATTTCTATCTTAATAGTGTATATTTATCACTCATTAATTTATCTTTTTATAAAGAACTTTAAGAATCCATTTTTTTTTACACGATTAATTAAAACAAATTATAGCAATTTTAATTTTAATAATAATAATTTCATAATTAACTTTTAGATATATGATAACCTTTCCTTTTTAGTGATATTTTATTTTAAACCTTATTAATTAATATCATCTATTACTATTTATAGTACATGTATAGCCGACGTAAGAAAAATATATTTTTGAACCAATTTTTTTTTTTCAAGTCGATTTTAATAATCATGTGTTTTCAAAATTATTTGCTTTAAGGAGTGAGATTAGTGAGTTAGAATATTATGGGGACAGGTTTAGAAAATCTCTAGTCAGGAGCCTTCTTTAAGGTTTCGATTGATTTATAGGACTATAAAAATTTATATTTACTTTTTATTTTATTTTTTTTTAATCATATATAAAATATTTCAAATTTTTTATACCATTAACAATTTTTATTTTACATGCTCCTCGCAATTTTGCGTGTTTAGAAAAAAAATGTTTTAGATTATTATTATTTAAAGTTCTTTGACTCAGTTCAAAATTTCACCTGATTAATTTTTACCATATTTTTTGAAAAAATCAGGTTCTGAGAAATTTTTGACTAAGTTAAATTTTTTTATTACATTTTAGTCTATATGTAATAAAAATTTAAAATTCAAATTTTTGCTCATAACTTGATAACAACCAATAGCCTTGTTGGTGGTGGTTACACAAAATTTAAAATTGAGGTGCCCCAAAATATAAGAAAATAGCTCGTGTAATAGATTAAAAATAACTAATGGGTATGTATTTGGGATGATTAAAAGCTTCTTTTTATATATAAATATACCCCTTTTTGACCGCATTTTCTTTTCTTTTTTTTTTTAAAAAAAAAAAAATCCCTTTACAGAAAAAGTCGGCTTATTTAATTCTTTGCTTATGGAAACCTTTCTGGTACAAATGTAATGTATTATTGGATTTCTAATCAAACAGCAAAAACATGGCATTGAAGATTCTGACAGAAAGTTAAATATTCAACAGAGATGTGATATGTGAAAAAAAGGGTTCTAACGCTAATGGATTGTCTGGTGAAAGAAACCCAATAACGCAATATTATTATATTTACGAAGAAATTTTGAATATAATTTTTTAGACATTCTACTCGATTTAATTCGACTTTGAGGAATATTCGACGACATTTTTCTATTCTATTTCGTACATCGGCTAGGTACTTTTGGAATCCGTAAACAAAAAAAGAAAACTTCTCAAGATTTCCTTTTTCTTCATAATCAAAAAATTTTTGTGTGACATCATCTTAATAATGCCAATTAGTTGATCTCGAAATTTCTATACGGGAAAATTATTTGCCCGTGATTCCGTTATAAAGATCTTTCTTTACTGCTTTTACTTGTTAAAAAAAGGTTCTGATTATGAAATTAAATGTTTGTGACCATTATCCGTTCTTAATGGGCTAAAAAGTGCGTTATCTATTGCGTGCCGCAGCAGATGTTTCGAGTTCTTTTGGTTAGCTTCTAATCGGAATTATTTATCAATTATAAAGGTAAATTACATATCATTGGTTATTTGATATTATAAATCAAAAAGTTTGGAAACAATTACGTTCCGTGTAATTCTAAATATAATTTTTTTTCACAATGTCACCACCTCGTAGCCCTGCGATGTTTTTTTCCTTCATTTGGATAATCATAAGTAATTATTCTACATTTCATAGAATGCTTTGTTGGACATTTTTATGATCGTTATTGCAAAAAGATCTTTAACATATCATGTTCAATAAGAAAAAAAAAAATCTTCGATTTATTTTCAGTTATGACATCATGCATCACTAGCACTGAGAAGGAAATCCTTGGTTTATTACTAATTAATTACATTAATTCATGTAGCACTTTTGATCATGATTTGGAAATTTTTCGGTGTTTCATTCTTCATCATATGTAATTATTTTTTTCATTTTGGAAATTTCTCGGTTATCATTAGCGATCTAATCATTTAAAGGTATGTATCGGTGTATGAAATGTCATCATGTGGAACTTATGTGTCCAATTAAGGAATATTTTGGTGGAATTAAATTAAAGTAAAAAAGTATAAATAGGTGAGAATTATTCGGGTTTCTCTTGGGAAAGGGAAAACTTGAGAACAACAAAATCTGTACTCTATCCTATATAATGAGCCAAATGACCGATAGTTCGTCTTTAGACTTTGAAGAGTTAAGTCCTTCATGCGTGTTTATTAATACGAATAATCCAAAGGTACAAAATAATGTTCGAAAAGATAACGTCCCCTATCCCTCAATAAAACCTCCTTTCCCACCTTTACTTGATCCAAAAGATTTATTAATAATTGGTAAAGATAATAAACCGACTCGTTCTCCGAACGCATTTATCATTTACCGTAAAGTTTTCTTTAAAACTGTTAGAAATGAAGGCCATGTCTTACCTATGACCGCCATTTCTTCAATGGCTTCGCAATCTTGGGAACGAGAACCTGAGGAGGTCAAGAAATATTATAAGAAACTCGCCAAAGAGGCTTATAATTATCGTAATGAACGTTTTCCTAAAAAGTCTAGTCGTCGTAAAAAGCGGGAGACATGGAATATTATCACTTTTAATAATAATATCACATTCTCAACACCTTCACCTTCTCCCACTGTCAATAATAATAACGATAACGTCTCGAAAGATACAAGCGAAAATTCATCGAATTTGCAATCGCCTAACCCTGTCGAGTATGCCCTTGACGCATATATGCAGCTTAATACCGTATTATTGCAAAATATTATCATGTCAAATGAATTATCTTTAAATCTATTAAATAATTATGATGCTCAAGCTAATATTCTCACCTCTGCCATGAATTTGCAACAAATTCCATCATTGGATGATCATAATCCCGATGATCTGTTAACAAATCATCTTTTCGAGAATGCTGAACTCTCAAATTTTCATGAACAAATTTATCCAAATCCTTCACTGGACGACATAAACGACATAACCGACAAGAATGACTTTTTCCCTATTGGAAATTTACAATTAGAAAATGAGCAAGAAATAGAATTTCAAAAGCTTTTTATTGATGATGACTTGCAACAACAGCTTTTATTTCTTCCTTTCGAAAATTCGAATTTTTTTTCGAATAAACCGCAACAAATCGATTTAAATCATAGCGACGCAACTCCAGATTTACTAACCAATTCAAATCCGGAAATCTTTTTTGGAAGTTCGGATCTTTCAACGGATTTCACACAATGTCGGGAATTAGCACCTTTACCAATCAATGCTGAATTCGAGGATTTTTTCTCCACGTGAATTAAAATTATAAAACTATAAGGTTCGAAACTTTTCAAAATTACGGCTTTATATGGTAAATACACGTACGGTAACATATATATTATACGGCGAATCGGTAATTCAAGATAATATGATATGTTTCTCAATTGTAATTAATATAAATATAAATATACTTTGTAATCCCCTGTCGTGTAAGTGCCACTCATGACTACCTTCATCATAATTTTCGCATAAGATTTTGATGAGAAACTTCGTTTACTTATTTCCCGGTCGCATGATCATATAAATAAACTTTTAACAATATGCTTAGTAAAGTATTCAACAAAATTTAATTGTTTCATAATAATTTTCTGAAATTTGTGAAATCGCTTAATTTCAATAATTGAGAACATCCCCAAGAACAGACAAGGAAACAAAAAAGTTAAAATAAATCCAAGTGTTATTTAAAATCAAATACATATATATATATAATATATAATTTTATCCTGATCATATGATTATATATAAAACTACGTACATCTTTTTCTTTTCATATAGGATCTTTACTGTGATCGCCATCAAATCACATCAATTTAGTATTCATCACGTGACAACGTGATTTGTAATAATAAAAAAATAAAACACTATATTATTATTTTAATAAAATGATTGTAATAAATAAAAAAAGACTAATAAAATAGTATATATTAATAAAGGTTATCTTTTGCGAAATAATAGAAATAATATCATTTTTTTCCTCTTACTCAATTTTCTTGAAGTTCCTGAAAGTCCTTCATAAAAAACAAAAGCTTAAACCTTTTCTTTTCTCTAAATTCGGTTTTTCCACTGAGTGGATGATTTTCAAAAGCAATGGCAATTTTGAAAGCATTAATCAGTCGCTATTATGAAATTATATTAATAAAGCAATAATGTTATAATATAATAAAAAATCATTGTGTTTAATATTGTTACACGAAAAATCATTAGGATGATCTTCCTAATGTAAATCCTTAGAAACTATGTTAACCTTGTTAACCTCGTTTACGTCGTCTAACTCGTTTATTTAGTTAACTTAGTTTATTTATTTTATTTATTTTCTTTAGTTTATTTATTTAACTTAGTTTATTAATTATATTTAGTTATTTATTTTACATTATTAATGATTATATATACTTTATTTTATATAAATATGAGTTGAGAATCCTTAGAGAGTTCATAGAGTTCACTGAAGTAAAGACTTATAGGAATAGTCTAGATTAGTTTAGTTTGATTATTTAGAATGTTTGTACAGTACAGAAGCACTGATGTTTGAGGCAGTACTCATTTGTTAGTATATATATCAAATAAACTACCAATACCTATATTTTACCTAAACTCAACTATAAATTAAACCTTCTGCTTACCACACATATTATCCGTTCTCTTATAACATTTACTGCAGTTTTCAAAATTATGTGAATTTCAATTTTGAGGGAATAGTAGATCAGCAGCAAAAAAATCGTGATTTTTTGATTTCTACCGAAGCGTATCATCTGATTTTTGTGAGAGTGTGCTTATATTGAAATTTTTTTCTACAATAAATTATTTTAGAACCGTACTAATATTATACTATAAAAACATAAGCTATACCTTATAAGCTTTGCCGTGAATTCTTCAAATACTTTTTTTCCAAATTTCATAAATTAAAAATGAATTTCGCGAATTCCATACGAATTCTACAGAATTTTAGTGAATTATGTTTGCTAAGACTAAATTTATGAAGGTTTGGAAGTTTCTTTTTTTTAATAAATTGTGAGTATATTTTTGATTTTATATTTATATATTTACTTTATAATCTAATTCAATATATAATTTTGTTAGAAATGAAAAATTTAAGTGAGAATTTGAAATGGCGTGTTGTATTTTATATCGCGGAAGGGTACACACAAAAGGAAACTGCAGAAAGATTATACATTAGCATAGGAACTGTTAATAAAGTTTATAATATATATAAACATTGAGGTTATGTTATTGATCCATTTTGTAGAAATCAAGGAAGAAAGAAAACATTTAATACATATGATATGAAGTATTAAATTTTTTAAAATGAGTTTTTTTTCTCTTAAATTTTAAAATAATCATTCATTACATAATTTTAATAATAGGTATTACAGGAACTTATTAAAGGAAAGGTTGATTGGTTTCTGGATGAATTAGTTTATGAAATAGCTCAAAGAACTGGTAAAATAGTATCTGTACCAACTTTATGAAGGTCTTTAAATTTTTGTGGGATTACTAAAAAAAAAGTAAGCAATATATTTTGATTTATAATTTGAATCCTTAATTAAATAAACACAATTGATGGTGTTTATAATT